GCCGTATGATTGGAAAGGCTAAGAAAGCTCCCAATGAATCTTCTGCTGCAGCTATGTACAACTTCAAGGGGTTGTTACCCTTTGGTGGCATCAGCACTGGAGGGTTGGCCAAGTAGGCCTTGATACCTTCGAAAGCAATTTGATGCTCCGTTGTCCACACAAATTCAGCTTCATCTTTCAGCCTTAATAAGGAAGAAAATACTTTAGTTTTCCCTGCAGTGTTAGAAATGAATCTTCGAAGAAAATTAACCTGTCCAAGGAACTTTTGTAATTCTTTCTTACTTGATGGAGGTCTGGCTTCAATGATGGCTGTGGCTTTATTCTGGTCAATCTGTATTCTTTTCTTGTGTACTACATAGCCCAAGAAGTTTCCAGATGATATGCCAAAAGCACACTTAAAAGGATTAAGTTTCAACTTAAATTTTCTCATTCTTTCAAAAGCCGCTTCTAAGTGAAACAAGTGTTCCTCCATGGATTAGGATTTCACTACAATGTCATCAATATAACACTCTAAATACCTTCCAATGAGGTCATGAAAAATAGTGCTCATAGCTTTCTGATATGTAGCCCCAACATTCTTCAGGCCAAATGGCATTTTAACCCATTCGAATGTGCCAATATTCCCAGGACATCTGAATGCTGTCTTATGGACATCCTGCTCTGCAATGCAGATTTGGTTATAACCAGAGTGCCCATCCATCATTGATAAAACTTGATGCCCTGCTAAACTGTCTACCAACAAATCCACTATAGGCATAGGATACTCATCTTTTGGAATTACTAGATTCAAGTTTCTGAAATCGATGCATACCCTCATTTTACCATTCTTTTTAACTACAGGCACAATATTCGATAGCCATTCTACGTACCTGGCTGTCCTAATAAAGCCTGCCTTGAGGAGTCTAAGAATTTCCTTCTTAACTTTCTGAATAACTTCTGGACTCATTCTTCTTGGTTTTTGCTTGTATGGCTTGAAATTAGGCCTCATAGGGAGCCTATGTTCCACTAATGATCTATCCAATCTTGGTAGTTCATTATAAGACCATGCAAAACAATCTTTGCATCTCTTTAAAACCACCAACAACTGGTCCCTGTCAAGAGCATTCAAACAAGCACTTATATAGGTGGGCTGCTGTATGGAATCTTCCCCTAAGTCCACTTCTTCCAAGGGGTCTTGTACCTGAGAACTCACTGATACTTTTTCTTTGATTCCTTCTGACTTCGAAGCAATCTCCTTACTTTGTTCTGCTCCTAGCTTTTTCGGTTCGACATCCTTACCCTCCTCCTCATAGACAAAGTCTGTCCATAAGGCATCCTCCTCCTATATCTCTTGGACTTTTATTTCAATATCCAAAGCACAGTATTTATCCAAGGCCAAACATTTGACCTGTTGTTGTTCCTGCTTCCAGCCAATTATTATGGCTTCTTTCTCTTGTTCTTGCACTTTCTGGACTATTGACTGTATATCCAATGCTGAAAACTTAATTAAAACCATAGATTTGGCCTCCTGGGGTCCATCTCTTTGCCTACAACCAGTTATCGTTGTCATCTTTAATGATAAACTCTTCATCAGCACTTTCCTGGACTAAGTGCTTCAGGTGTGCTAATTCCTCATCAGCCGTCACTTCGGCTGATCCATCAGGTTTTCTCAGTATACTGAGTGGTGCTTCTCCTTCAGTATACAATTTGGCCTCTGCAAAATCTGCACAGGCTATGAAGGGCTGAGGATCTACATTGATCTCCTCTGTCTCTCCATTGCACAAGGCCATCATGATTTTCTGATGTAAAGAGGAAGGCACACATTTGTGGGTGAAAATCCAATCTCTTCCAAGGAAAGCATTACACTTAGCATTGCTATCGATAACGAAGAATGCTGTCATGCAGTCCTTGGTTCCCACACTCAGGTTGATGGGCAAAATACCATGGGCCATCTGTTTGTCTCCAGTGAAACCAGCAATGGCTGTACTGGTTGGGATTAGTCTGGGGTTCTTCTTTCATAGTTTCTTCAATGAAGATTTTGGAAGCAGATTTACTGCTGCCCCATTATCTACCAGCACCTGATTCATCTGTATTCCATCAAAGAAGGCCTTCATATACAAGGGTTTGACATGTTGTGTCATGGACGTCGTAGGATATTCAAAAGGGTATGAGAGGTTAATACTGACCTCTTCCTCACTCTCGCCTTCAGTTTTCATTGGTGTGACTACTTTGGATTCGTCTTGCACCATACTCACTTGTGAGTCTTCACTGGAAACTGGGATTGGGTCAATCTCCTGACCTTGGTTGTCATCTTCAGTTTGAAATTCCTATGGTAATATGAGCACCATATTCACTAACACCGGAGGAAACGAGCCAAATTGGACGACTGGCTGTACCTGCTTTCCCTCTTGGTCAACTTGTTTAATTACTTCAGAAGTGTCCTCCATGCTGCATTCTGGCACTTATGTATTAGTAACTTCCTTCGAATGGTCAGTTTCTGTTGGTTTTTTGACCAAAAATGTATGTTCAGCCATGAAGGCTTCAAATATTTCTTCCTCAACCATCCCCTTCCTTTGGCCTGGGACGACTTCATCTTCTATCTCACTATCACTTTCCATCAAAGCTTTTTCCAATCCTGCCAAGATGGATCTTTCCTTGGCCTCTAGTTCGGAATGAACTTTGGCCAATTGCTCCTTGCTGTCTGGAAGAGTCGATTTTAGGTTATGGTCTGACTTTGAATCTTCTTCTCTTTCTGCCTGGCTCTTTAGCTGAACCAATGAAGAGCTTTCTCCACCTTCTTTTAAATCCTTCTGGTACTGAGTGTACCTTCATTGGATCTTCTTTCTTTGGGATCTAGAAATCACTGGGACCATGTTTGGTTCTTTTGTTTTTTGGTGCTTAAGCAATACCCAATTGTTTGGAGCCATCAAAGGAGGTTTGACCATCCTACCTTGGTTTCCAACAACATATCTTTGGGTAGACATCTCCCTAGGCTTGTTCTGCATGACAAACCAATCTGGAACTCCAGGTACCCACGAACCTACTGACCCAGCTGTTGAACTGCTTCTTTCTTCCTTCGAAGCTGGCTGTGAAGACCACTGCTTGGCCCTGACTTCCTGTTTTGGGCCCAATTCAGGCCTTCGATGAAGATGGCCACCTTTTGTCCTGTGTGAGACTGGTCTAGAATGCCAATCCCTGGCTTTGATTCCGTAACTTGAACCCTTCTCCGATCTTCTTTCAGGATGACTGCTCTTCATTCTGTAATGATTAGGTGGTCTGGACTTATATAAAGGCCTCTTGCCTTTAGAATGCATTCTAGCGGCTGTTGGCTCAGCCATTGATGGTTGTTGCCTAATACTAGTTGGATATGGCCTTTTATTATAAGTACTAGTTGGTTTAGGACGCCTCTGCACATCCTTATAATATTGCTTCCCATCAATTGGAAGCCATTTCAACCACTTGTAGCTCAGTCTGCATCTGGGACACATTCTTTGCATGACAGCTGCTTCTAAAGAATCACCATCTAGTGCTTCTTCATCAGAGTCTTCCCTCTGGTCTGAGAAACCTTGTCCAATAGCTCGTAGATTTCCAATGTCTTCTTGAAAGTTGTCTGGCTGTCAACATGCATCTGCACATTGACTTCTTCCAATTCTTTCAAGGACAAGTTCTGGAAGTCTGGCATAATAACATTGGCTGCCACCTCTCTAATTTCTGGGAATGGATTAGTATCAATCCCCATGGTCTTTTCTACTTTAGCTGGGAATTTTAATCTCCCCTTTCGAATTTGCTCTTGGATCCTGTCTCGAAAAATAATGCAGTTTTTAGTTGAGTGAGACCAAGAATTATGCCATTTATAATACACTTTTCCTTTAAGCTCCTCTGGAGACGAAATTTTGACTCCTTTTGATAACTTCAGGAAATTTGCAGCAAACAAACGATCAAAAATGTCATCTGCCTTTGTTAAATCGAAAAAGTATTTCTTATGAAGGTCTTTCTTTTTAAACTGCCTGCTGATCAATTGTTGTATCTTTATAAATTAATGCCTCACAGATCACAGGTTCTTTCCCTACAATCTCTGCTGCATCAATCTCATAATTAGGATATCTATAATACGTCTTGTATGATGCATTACTTCGATCTTGTTCTTCTTCTAGTAATGCATCATACCTAGACACCTTATAGGTTAATTCTACTAAGTCTCTAAACTCAGTTGAGTCAAACTTATTTCAAAGCCTAAACTCTAGACCATTTTGAGCCAATTTCACAAATTCAGGCTCTGATAAGATGATCCTTCATTTATTTCGTGCTCTTTTAAATCTGTCAATAAATTGAGTAGCCTTCTCATCAGGCCTCTGACTTAATCTTGCCAAGTTTTCCATGGAAACCTCTGGCTCTGTTTGGAAGAATTGGACATGAAATGCCTCTTCCATTTGTTGCCAAGTTTGGATAGAGCCAGGTGTAGGTTAATACATCATACAAATGTTGCCCCAGTCAGAGAGTTTGGGAACAATCTTAACTTCATATAGTCATTGTGAGTAAATTCACCACACTGAGCAGCGAACCTAGCAATATGTTCAACCGTTGACTGGTTTCCATTCCCATAAAAAAGAGCGAAGTCGGGTATCCTAAACCCCCTTGGGTATTCATGTACCCTATTTACCCATTCTGGATATGGCTTCTTGTACACAGGAGTTTGAACCCCCCGAGCCATTGGTCCATACATCTCTCTAATAATATCAACAATTTGGTCCCTAGGGACCATATTTTGTGCTTGTTGAACCACTACTGGAGGAACAAACATAGGATTCGGTAGACAACCTTGTGCCTGGGGTCCTCTTGGTCCATAGGGTGGTATGTTTGGGACTGGTTGTCCCTGTTGTGCTGGCTGCTGTTGGGGATATGGGTGACCCCTTTGAGTCTGTTCTACAAAAAGACCTGCGAAAAGCGCTGGAACAGGTGTTGTGTCTCTTCCAGTGGTAGGAAAACCTTCCAACCCCCGGGTATAAATTCGAACAAAGGATTAATGAACCCCCTCATGCCAGGTATGGCTTTGAACATGGGATTTGGGACCATCCTTACACCATTATCCTGTGTTGGGCCAGATCCACCAATTTGCATGGCTTTACTGTTAAGTAATGAAGCATTTTCATTTGCCATAAGCCTCGAAAGAGGCTCATACCAAGACTGAGGTGGTGGTCTTTCATGGTTTTGGTTACTAGTTTGACCATTAGTATGCCCATTACTCTGCATAGGCTGTTTATCTCTGACCAATCTTTGCTGAGGGACATTTGAATTTTCCTCTATATGCCTTGCACTTGTTGGTTGGTGGGTATTCATTCGATCAAAAAAGGATGTTGCCCACCTTTCCATTGTGTTCATTAACTGTTGTCCCATGGCCTCTACTAGGCCACCCCATGGATTCATTGGCTGAGTATATGGAACAGTGGATGGTCCAATTCCTTGGCCTCGTCCAATATTATGAACATGCGGTACTTGTTCCGAAGTGCTGGTCTGTTCGACCATAGGTTTTGATAAAATGGGTGTTTTCACAGGATGTGCTATCACATTATCCTTTGGATTAGGCATTTCTACCTCTCCTTCCATGCCTTCTTCCAAGCGTTCATTTTCTCCTTGTCTCCTACGTTTAGCCATTTGAATTAGTCCCACTGGGCGTGCCAAAAATATATGTTGACTTTTTTGGCTTTCGAAGGTTATTTTTGTAATTGTGAGCGTGCTAGCAAGGATCAATTAGTTCTTACAGAATGTTAATTGCCAACCAATTATCAGACGATTGTGTTTTAGTTCTTTAGCCTCAATGAAGAGGATTTTTACTGGTGGCTTTGTTTAGGAGAATTAAGCAAACAATGATTAAATGAAGAACAATTGCAGTATTTCATTAAGTAAAACGAAAGACTTACAATGATCCAATTCAGCCTCGTAGAAGTTTACAACAACAATCTACTTGAAACTACTCCTATGAACGAAATGCAGTGCATGAATTTTAAAGTACAAAAATACAAAGAACAGGAAATGTAAAACTGGAAAGGAAATAAAGTAGATAAAAACTGAATTTTTAGATCTGAGTCTGGGGGGTTTTTCTGGGGCCTTCTCTGCTATTTATACTTCTCAAGGACAACCATCGAACTGCACTTCTAACTGTCGAACCGCTCATCCATGATCACTGATCATGCTGCCTTATAGTTAACTGTACTATGTCAATACCTGCAGTTAGGCTTCCCTCCTGATTTTGAATTTGAATGTGAGTAACCATTGAAACTACATCACTTTGCATCTCTTTGCTGATCCAGTGCTACGCAAATCTTGTAAGAACCAATACTAACTGCCACGTGTACGATCATGATCGAAGACTTGAATAGTCTTCCCATATTGCCCTTATTCTGCCACGCGTTGAATTGTAATTGGTTTATACAAAATATGTAGCCAACATATTTGTAATAGGAAAAACAAAATACATAGTGACACGCTCTTGTATTGCTTCCTAAATTTATAATATGATAATAAAGTGAAGGGTTCGAGTGATCTTGTAGATAAAATCTTCACTATAAATTTATTTTTCTCCTTATATTCTTCTCATTTTTACTTTTTATCTGCAATTGAGACATACGCCTAAGCTATAGGGAATTTGTTGTGGGGCTCGTGACCCCTCACTTTGTATAATTTTTTTAATTATAAATTATTATTTCACTTATTGTACGGGGAGGAAATAATTCTCCTCGTATAATCCTGTTGACCTAGTCCACGCTCCTCCGTACGACGTCGCTTTGTCACCTGAAAACACAAACGTGAGCTAGCCGGCGGGTTTATGCCGGAAACCTCTCCGATGCCTAAGTCAGAAAACTTGACAAATAGACAAAGCTCTAAGTTCTCAGAATGATTGTGTTCAATTACCTCCTCCAAGGTGATGCTTGTGAGCTTTTATAAGTTTCCCGTGGCACAATCCTAGTAGGACTTGTACTTCTCCATGCAGAGTCCTCCTAGGATTCATTCTCCTAAGGATAATGCTTATCCTTTTACACCCTCCCCCACTGCTTAAACCAAGTGGGATGGTTTTCTTTATGGCCGAACTTCCATTTGACCGAAGTAAAATTGGCTATACCGAGCCACAGAGGGCCGAACTATCCTTAGCTCGGTCTTCTGCTCCACCTCCTTACTTCGGCTGCCCTGTTCAACCTTGATGTGCTTAGATCAAACTTCCAAGTAACAAGTTCTGACCGACCTAACCATTGTAAGTCACGACCGGACTAATTCCTAAACCGGCCTTCCCAGAACATACTGTGACCGGACTAATTCTGAGACCGGCCTAACTCCGAGTTGCCTCCGGACCGGAGTAGCTATATTCTTCCTTGGGCCGACGCAACTATCTCTTCTTGAGCCGGAGTAATCACACCTCCTTGGGCCGGAGTATCCTTTACGGCCTTTTTTACTCAGTCCTTCGCGTTTTGGGCCTCAAAGCCCAACTCGCAGCTCGGCCCAATTTTTCCCAAAAATTACCCTCTCACTTATAAATATATATATATATATATACCTAGATACTTTTTGGGGTGTGTTTTTCAAAATTTTAATTTCAAAAGACGTATTTTCTTGTAAGTTCATGACTAGTGGGACAATGTGATTGTGCATAGCACAAATAGGGCTATCCATAATACCATCAAAATTGTAAAATTGTTTCGAATTGCACTCAATTGTGTATTTTTTTGTTTTTGGCGGGCAGTGGAAGGGTCAATAACGATAGTTTGGAGCGGGTGGCGATTTATAACAACTAACCTGTCATATTAACTGACCCAACCCGCCAACAATTTTGTTTTGCCATTGGATTAGATCAATCAAAGTAATTGTACACACACTCTCTCTCTCTCTCTCTCTCCCTCCCTCTCTCTCTCTCACACAAACACACACACACTCACATAATCAATTCTCAATTGAAACCAATTCACACACTCACATAATCAATTCTCAATTGAAACTAATTCACATCCCAATATATCTCATTTCATTCACAGATTGCTTCGTCTTCCTCATTGCTTACCTTGCCGATCGACACCATCACACACTAGCCTTGCAGAGTCACTGCCGTTAGCCTTTTCGCCGTTGCTCTTCACTCGCCGCCCATTGCTCTTTGCTAGTATGTAGCTCATTCTTTATCCCACAATGCCTCTATTCTCTTGATTCCGTGGAAATTGTTTGTACCCACAACCTTTCTCAAACTCTGTTTGTATATATTTGCATCAATTTGAATATCTTTTCATGACTTCAAAGAGGAATCAAGATATTCTGCTATAGTGAGAGAATCAAATGGATTATTAAAAAATAAAACCAAGAAACTCCACAAAAGTTATTCAATTCATAAAGTGAAAAAACTAATAATGTTATTGTCTTTCTCTGTGTGTACAGATATATAGTTTTTTTTTTGTTATTTATTTATGTTTTCTTTACTTGTGTCTACGCATTAATGAAGTTTTGGAGTTTGGTTGAAGTAATTGTGAAGGATTGGAGTTATCGTGGAGTTTGATGATTAGATTAACTTTTAAACTTTTGGATTGTTTGTGGACTTTGATGATTAGATTAACTTTTAATTTTTTTTTTTAAGAATTACGTTAAATGTTGGAT